TTTTAAAGGTAAACTATGGGCCTTTACAGACTGGCCTAAAGGGCCAGCCTGGGTGTGGAGTTGGGGTGGGGCAGCTGCACACCAGCTACCCCAACTCCACCCTGACACCATCCTGATGCCACGTGCCTGTCTGCATAGCTCGCGGCATCAGGATGCCCTCCTGGCACAGTGTGTACACACGCTTCGCCAAAAGGGCATGGAAGAGCCATGGCACTGGCTCTTAGGGCAGCTTTTTGCCACCCCTAAAAGGAGTGGCAGCAAAATGGAGGATCAGGGCCATGGTTTGCAGTTGCTGTGGCCCTGATCCACTGCTCCCAGAGGCAGCTCTGTGCCACCCCAAAGGCGGGCCTGTAAAGGCTCTAAAATAAGCAAGTATGAAAGTTAAACTTGTTAGAGTTCAGCTTTCATCAGCAGAGCAGCAAAAAAAAAAATGGGTCAGACTATATTTTAATATGCTTTCCTAAAGAATAAAGAATGAATCAAAAAAGGACAAACATGTAGTTTAAAAACAAACAGTAATGACTTTAATAAATAAATACACAATAAACTAAATCCTATCCTAACTGGTGTTAATATAACAGGAAGGGACTGTTACTCCATCTTAGACTTAGGGGCCATAAGGGAGTGCCAGATTGGGGAAGCAGCAACCACATGCCACTCCAAAATGAGTTGGCAAATGCTGCTCCTTTTTGGAGCAGCAAAAAGCCATCCTTACTGCCGCTGCTGCACTTATACGCTGCACCATCCTTACATGCTGCACCAAGGGAGAGCCCTGATGCTGTGCACCATGCAGTGGGGTGCGCGGCATGACGGTGGAGTTGGGGTAAAGTCAGGGTGGCTGGTATGTGGTTGCTCCACCCCAACTCCACCCTCAGGCCAGCCCTTTTGGCCAGTCTGTACAGGCCCTTAGAGGAGGCAGTTACTGTATCAGTGACTGAGAGGAAACAGTTTAGATCTTCAGAGAGTCTGTTAAACAGCCCTCCAAGAATGAGTGACAGGAGAGAGGAAGTCCCTGCCTATCTAAGGAGGGAAAGGAGAATGCAATGTATAAATTTTCCAATTTCATGAAATTAGTAAAGCAACTTGGAGACAATAAATTTGATCTCTGATTACTACTGACCTTCCCAGCTGTCAATATTCTTTATGCTATTATCTTTAAATTCCTATTGTATAGGTGCCTTCATGACTGACAGCAACCCCATAAATTTCTAAGGGTTTTCCTATTACTGGTATCTTATAAAGGATTGCTCAAACCTCATTCTTTCCTTATACCTTGACAAATACTGCACATCCCCTAGAAGCCCACATGGAAATCAATATAAATTATCCATCAAGAAAACATAATCTCTCATTCACTGAGAGAGAGAGAAAGGCTTAATAACATCACATAATTTTAAAAGAATTGTGAAGGCCTAAATAGAAAATTATTTTTATATTTTCTACAGCAAGAGCATATAACTACTACATTAGTGTGAGTAGATTCTACTAGTATGAATGTATCACACATTGCTCACTTAATTTGTACAAAGCAAACATATCTCTGGACAGTTTCAAAAAGGCTGTCAAGACGGATCTCTTCCGGCAGGCCTTTCCAGACTAAATAGCCCGGCCCCAGGTTGTTCCCTCCTCTTTCAGCGACACTATTTGAACCTTGGTTTCCCCGTAGTGTAACAATGGGATGATGTGGTACGGTTTTTATTATTTTAATCGTTATGATTTTTCGTTATATTGTCATTAGGATTTTAACTATGTCATTGTTTAATACTGTTTTAAGGGGGGGAGGGATATGCTGTTTATTGTAACTGTTTTATGCTGTAAACCACCCGGATTGGGCAACCATTGTGTGGTATATAAATACATTTTATTATTATTATTATTATTATTATTATTATTATTATTATTATTATTATTATTATTATTATTATTATTATAGGACAACTCATGGTTAACTCAAAAGTTCCATGTTGGCTGTAGAATGTGAGTACAGGGGCATCTAATGGCTAAAATACATTGATAGAATTATATTTTTATTCAGTGACTGCTTTTCTGCTTCCTTTAGGTCAGGATTTCTCAGCCAGGGTTCTCTGGAACCTTAGTGTTCTGTGAGAGGTTGCTGGGAGTCTGTGAAAGATCATGATTGGAGAGGGGGAAAATAATGTTTTTTGAACTAGAGATATAATATTTTTAATATAGGGGTTCCCTCAGACCTGAAAATGATTTCAAGGGTTCCTCCAGGATAAAAAGGTTGAGAGAAGTTCAGATTATTTCATTGTACCCAGTAGTTCATGTTTCCTGGAGTGTTATTTCATGATTTCAAAATTGTCCAGGCATTATAATTGTATTGGAAGAGGGTTTACAGAGCAATGCTGGGGAATTAAAATGAAAGAGAAATGGGCTTTGGTGAACAGCATCATAATGGTTCTTCTGGAGAGAGATTTAGAGAGGATGTCATGGCCTGGGAGATTCCCATACTTCATACACTAATTCAGATCTCACCACAGGAATTACCCAGGTGAGGGCAGGGAAGACTGGTAAATTCCCTTGTTGCTTAAATGAGTGGCTCAGGTCTTGTCCGCACAGAAGAAATAATGCAGCTTAACTCTGCTTTAACTTCCATGGCTTGATGCTATGGAATTCTAAGATCTGTAGTTTTGTGAGATATTTAGCTTTCTCTGTCTGAGTCACAACAAACTACAAATCACAAGATTTTGTAGGACAGAGCCATGACAGTTAATATGATGCCAAACCGCATTACTTCTGCAGTGTGGCAGCAACCTTAGTGAAATGCTGAGTTATCACATAGGTTGCCCTTAAAGATGACTCAGGAGTTACAAGTAGTACAAAATGCAGCAGGAGGACTGCTGGCCAGAGTACCTTATATTTGCTTCTGGACTGAAATCAAGGTGCTGGTGGTGACATTTAAAGCCCTAAATGGCTTGAAAGACCACCTCTCCCTATATATGCCTGCTTGAGAACTGCAAGATGGGCCCTCCTCTTTGTCCCTCCAATGGAGGTGATACAAAGTGGGAGAACATTGGAGTGGGCCTTCTTAGTTGTGGTCAGTGGTGTCATTCAGCAGATTCACACCAGTTCACCAGATCCAGTTTTTAAAATTGTTAAGAGAGGGTCAGAGGAAGGGAAGAACTGGATCCTCCAGAGCTGTGGGAAAGAGCCAATGTTGAGAACTAGTAGGTACTTATTTTTGACAATATCACTGGTTTGGGGTGCCCTCTTTATGGAATGCCCTCCCTGTAGAGATCTGACTGGTCCCAAGGTTAGCTTCTTTCTGGCATCAAGCCAAAACATGGCTTTTTATTAAAAGCCTTTGGGGACTAATTTACTTCAAAATATATGCTTACATGGTTTTGAACTGTTGTTGTGTTTAAAGCGTTTTCTTGTTTAATATGTTTATAACTTGTTCAAATTATTTATGTTTTTTCATCTGGAATTGTTTTTAAATTGTCTATAGCAGGGGTCGGCAACCTACGGCCTGCACCAACCCCCGCCACTGATCCCTGCCGCCGTGCGCTGCCGCCGTGCTGCCACTGTGCACGTCGCGGCCACCATTTTATTTTCCAAAATGGTGGCCGCAACGCATTTGCGCATGCACAGTACCCCATTTTCCCCCCTCCACCAGCCCACAGAAGACCCAGGGATCCCCGGACCGGCCCCAAGTAAGAGGACCCCTGGTCTATAGTGTGCTCTGCCCTGAGAGCCTATGATAAAGAGCAGGATATAAACATTTTAACTTAAATAAATAAATAAATAAATAGTTCTTCAACAACCGATTCAGTGGGTCAACTCTGGGGACTTGTAAGTGGATGCAGCCTTCATACAGTTATTTAAGTATGTATTTTGTATAACTTTTAACAATTGTGTGAATACACATGCCTCTTCTAGTACAAGAATCCTTCAGTATAACTGCTTCAAAGGGGGTCTGTGCATATAATGTGACCTGACCAAAATAACCTAAAGGCACCAAATCCTCTGGTCTTAGAAGCTAAGCAGGGTCAGCCCTGGTTAATACATAGATGGGAAAGTGCCAATGAATATCAGGTGCTTTAGGTTATATTTTAGAGGAAGGGACTGGCAAAGCCACATCTGAATATTCCTTGCTTAAGAAAATCCTATTAAATTTATAGGGTCACCATATGTCAACAGGCAACTTAAAGACACACACACACACACGTTATCCCTGTGAATTACAGAGGAAGGAGGAAAAGCTGGCTCTGTTTTGATCAGGTTCTGTGATTTATTTGAATACTTCTAACTCAGAATCTGAAAGTGCTCCGCAAATATTTGTACATGACAACACCAAAGATTTGCCTTACTTTTTGAAGCTAGTTGCCTTCTGTATGGAGTAAGGGAAATCCCCACCACCTGCTGAATGACTGCATTGTTTGCTAAGGGGGGGGGGAAACCAAACTGAGGAGAATAACAGGACTGTGAATCAGCACTATTGCTTCCCTGCCACACAACCATACACAGACAGACAGATACACAGAGTTTTGGTACATGCGTGGGCCCACAATTGAGGAAAACACATACATACATGGTCTTTTCTTTCTTTCTTTCTTTCTCTCTCTCTCTCTCTCTCTCTCTCTCTCTCAGACACATGCACATGCAGACACACAGAGAAGTTATAAAAGATCAGAAAATTCACATAACAAAACAGGCAGAAGGGAACTTTTCGCTCTCTTGTTTTCGACTTCCAGTGTTTTGCCAGTTACTTGTTTTCCAGTTACCACTGTTACTTGTTTTAGCACAGTATGGCTATTGTTGAATCAGTCATGGTGGTGACATAATTCTGTAATGGAACACTTGCTTTACCTAGGCTGTTCCCAGTGAAGGCTTTTATGCACAATTGCACTACCTCTTAGGTGGGAGTTTTATAGGAAGTCTAGACAACTATAGATCTTCAGTTTGTGGTGCCTCCATGCACTGCTTGTTTTATGTACAAGATTAGTAAACTACAATTACTAGTTAGCTCTCTACATAGGAGCTAGTGTGGCATAGTGGTTTGGATGCTGGACTACAACTCTGGAGACCAAGGTTCGATTCCATGCTTGGCCATGAAACCTAATGGATGGCCTTGGGCAAGTCAGAGGCTCTCAACCTCAGGGAAAGGAAATGCCAAAACTCCTCTGAACAAATTTTGGCAAGAAAACCCCACAATAGGTTTGCCTTATGATTGCCAGTCAGAAATGACGTGAAGGCACACAACACACACACACACCTGAACTGGAGTGGAGGTAAGGGTGAACCCTAATGAACATTTTAACTAAGGTGGAGATTTAAAAGGTAAGAAGGCTGGGTCCTATCTGCCTCCATGAGATAGGTGAGTCTTCTCTAAAGGCCACTTCCTGTAAGGCAAAAAATAAACCAAAACAAAACCAAGAAGTAGCACTTGGAAAACATGTGCAGACACTATGAATTATACTAACTTGCTTGCTGTTAGTGGGGTTTTCTGGAACAGATTTGTTCAGAGATGGTTTTCCATTGCCTCCCCCCAAGGCTGAGAGCATGTGATTTCCCCAAGTCACCCAGTGAGTTTCATGGCTGAGCTGGGAATTGAAGCCTGGTCTCCAGAGTCCAAATCATTACACCACACTGAGTCTTGGCATTTATATCTGTTGGGACAAGGCTGACTTTCCCTTGCTGGTGTTCTTGCATAGAAATGGTGCAACTCTCCATTCTCTGAAATGATTCCTTTTGTTTAAGTAGCTGTACAATATATACAACATCATAGTGAGTGTTACTGTGACCAAGTGACCTGTCTGCCAAATTCACTGTTGTGAACATCTTTAGAAGTCTTTGTTTTCCATTCTTACAGTTCATTTTTTTTTTTCAAAAATTGACTTGAACAGTCCTTACAAACAGAGGACTATCTTCTGTAAAGTATAACACATGGACAGGCCCATTCACATTACATGGTTATAGCATTATGTTTCCATTTGAACTGTCCAGGCTGCATCCTCTGGAATTCTGGGATTTGCTGTTTGGTCAGAAGCACCAGAGGAGCTCCCTGGCCAAGGAGTCTAAATGCCTGACCCTAAATAGGCAATCCCAGGATTATTTAGGATGGAAACAGCAGTTGATGTGGACGCATTTCACCTTATTCTCTGACGAGTGGCAGAAATCAGCGTGGACCACTTCTCCATTCTACAGTCTGGGGCAAATGACATTTAGAGCACTATGATGTTCATATTTTAGCTCAGTTTGACTTAAAACTTGAGATGTTAGGTAATTCAGTCTTACAAATCAGCTTTAGGTGCTATAGCAAAAATGCGTTCTAATTGTAGATTCAAATAGCCTTTACTACCATGGAGCCTTAGGGCATTATCGCACAAACTCCTTTGCCATTACTATTGTGTTTCATCTAAAAATGGTATGTAATCAAGACTGCAGTCTTACCTTCTGCACCTTTGGACCCAATCCAAGATGTGAGCACCTGTTAGTGCCAAAACTCTATCACACACACAGGGAGTGAATATTGCCTTTGCCACTTCTGCTTCCCCTCTGTCTTCTCCCCAATATTCCCCAGGAAAGCCATATATATGATCAAGAAAGCTGCTTGTATGACAAGAGAGAGAAGAGGGGAGAAGTTTGGGGAAGAAGGCAAAATAAGGAAGGAGAAGGGGGGAAAGGGGAAGGGAGCTCACTCAGTCTTCACCCAAATGAATGAGAACAGGGGTCTGGCACTGCTGGAAAAGGGCGATATGTGTTCGTGCATGTGTGTGAAAGAGAGAGTGCTCCATAGTACCACTACAGCAATGGAACAACAATGACTTCATAATGGGTCTGGATCTCCCCTGATCACTACCATTTCCTCACCCAAAGCTTGCCCACTAACCAAAGTCATCAGAAAAGCACTATTGAACTTTTGCACTGGAAATCATACGCAACAGAACCTTTAAGGGAGGTCATAAGCAGGTTATTTCAATAAGTCAAAGGACCACTTTTACAATGGTCTCTTATGCTATACTGGTAGAGCAGCATACAGAAGGGGGAATCAAACGTGCTGCTGTCCTGTTATACTGCCATTTTACTGACCTCATGCAATAAGCTTCTTGGTGGTTCAAAAATTAGCATTACAAGGAATGACCCTAAAAGAAACATTTTTTAAACTTTACATCCATTAAGCACCTTGCAAAAATGACAGTGAATGAAGAGCTGCATTATAAATATTGGGTTATAATATTACAGGGGTACAGTGTTACAATGTTGTTCCATTTAAGTTATATTTCACTACAAATAGTAAATATACTTGGAAAGGTGTTTTAAAACTACTTAAAGGATCAATTTAAAATCAATTAAATGGGTGATAGAAATGATGTTCACCACACTGGATGTGTGCTGTACTACAAAAGGTTTACATGGCCAGTAGATAAGCACCTATGTCAAAACCGCACCTCTTCCTACAAAACACAAAAGAATACCACCAAGGCTATTTAACCTATAGAGATTGGGTGGCTCTTCTGCACTTCTCAGAAAGATAATACTAGCTGCAATTTGGAAAAAAAAGACAAAAAAGAGAAACTAATGACATCAGCAGCAATTGCTATTGTGTGCCTTTAAGTCATTTCTGATTTATGGTGACCCAAAGGCACCTATCATCGGATTTTATTGGCAATATTTTTCAGAGGAGGTTTGTCTTTGCCTTCCTATGAAGCTAAGAGAATGTGTCTGGCTCAAAGTCACCCAGTGGATTTCCATGGCCTAGTGGGGATCTAAAGCCTGGTTTCCAGAGTCCTACTCCAACTCTCAAATCACTACACTATGCTGGCTCTCACCAGTGGATCCTTTGTAAAATCTGAGAGATGACACATGATGTCATCCACAATACAAGATCTTCTAAAAGCTGTCAAAATCACAACAATCCAAGATGGTATCAAACTAAGTGAGCAGACTGCCTCAGAGCATGGTGAACTCTCCTTCTTTAGAGATCTTTCAACAGAGGTTACATCTCTCAGGAGTGTGTAATCCCTTTCAGTTCTGTAATTCTCTGACTCTAACTGGTTGTACATTCACTTCTTCTTCTCTAACATCAACCCTACCCCTTTCACAAACTCTTTCTCTTCCCGTTGCCCACCTTCATGTGTTCCTTCACAAGTGAGACTTATAAATTGCTTGTTCTGAAAGAAATTTTCTAACACGTTGCTCATCTATCACAAAGTGCTCAAATTAATCTGTCACCTGACAAAAGTCATAAACCACTTCTGAGCTTTGCAGACATTTCCTGATCCTCTGAACTTTAATCTTTTGGCATCTGAAGAAAAGATAACATCAGCACTTCACGGAAATGTGCAACCTACCACCTGTGCAATTCCTTTTCAGTGCCATTTCCTATGAGCATCTGAATGAATGAATTATGCCCATTCACTTCAAAGGGAGTGACTCTTAAGTGTTAAGTAAAGAAACAGGAGTGGGTGGGAAACAACTTTATGCCAAAAACTGGACAAATGCAAAATGTTCAGGCCATGAACAGCAAATAGCACAATATAAAGGTGCATCTCACATTGGGCTTGTGATGTGCCCCTGTCCCATGTCAGGGATCATTGGTCATGATGAATAAGGATTCTGGGAGGTATAGTCTAAAATAGTAATATTTCCAAGCTTTGGTAATATTGAGTCTTTTGACTGATTTATATAGCCTACAGTCAGCGGGGACAAACATATGAATTCATCACCATTTTAAAGTGCAATTTAAAGTTTGACATTACTCCAAACAAAATATTTTCAGGTGGAATAAGTTCATACATTCAACTGGGAGTAAACATGCTGAAAATCCATTGCTATGAAATGCATAAGCAAGCCTGCCACATGGAGTGCATAAGAAATCTCCTACCAAGTTCTCCTTTAGGAATTGTCATGAGCAACTTAAAAGTTCAGTGTTGGCTGTAGAATGTGTATACAGTGACATCTACTGGATAAAATGTAGTTTATATTTTTACTCAGTGACCACTTTTCTGCTTCCACAAGAGGTTGCTAGGGATTCTGTGAGAGATAATGACGGGTAAAAAGTTAGGTTTTTTGGCATTATAGATATAATATCTTTATACAGGGCTTCCTTGAGACCTGAAAATTATTTCAAGAGTTCCTCCAGGTGGGAAAGGTTGAAAAGTTCTGTTTGTTTCATTGTACCCAACTGTTCATGTTTCCTGCAGTGTTGTCCAGAAAGTAGATATTTCATGATTTCAGAATTGCTCAGGCATTACAGTTTGTATTGGAAGAGGTGTACAGAGCACCATTGAGCAATTTAAATGACCATGAAAATAGGCTTTGGTGAACAGCATCACAGTGGTTCCCTCTGGAGAGAGAGTGTCATGTCATGGGAGTTTCCCATGCTTCATACACTAATCCAGATCCATAGAAATTACCCAGGTGAGTGTAGTGATGACTGGTAAGTTCTCTTGTTGCTTAAATGAGTGAGTTAATGGCTAATTGTATTGGCATATCTCAGTCCAGGCTTTGGTGACATAACTAAAATGGCTGAAAACCTTCTTTCAAGGCTGTTGCAATATGTATTCATACTCAAGAGTCATTGGTAAAAGCAGAAGGAAGCCCACAGAACATGTGGAAAGAAAATCCCATCACTCTACAGGTTGAGAACCAAAATGGTAATTGTAGAGACAACAGGCAGATTAGAGGCTTGGCACTAGCCAATGGGAGCAAAGCCAGAAAAAGGTGGGGGCTGCTCCCAGGCGTGAGTATATAAGAGGAAGGTGCATATTTAAATGTATAAACAAGGCTTATACATAATAAAAATTTGGTTAAAATGTGATATTTTAAAGAAAATTTTAAAAGAATTAAAAATTAAATATTTAAAAAAAATAAAATTTCCTTAAAATTTAAATTTTTTGAAATTTGAAATTTTAATT